GGTTGGCTACATGGGAGTTCAGTGACTTAGCATTACGCTAACTGCTGGTCCCTAAAAAAATGTATTTTTATATTCCACCTTTCTATTGGGTCATTGGGAAAGCCATGACTCATTTTTGCACAGAAAAACATAGAAAAATACATCACGATTGTCCAGGCAACCTAATATTTCTTCCCAAGACAGCCTGCCTCAGATCAGTGGCAAGTGTGTGCCCAGTGTACTTAGGAAGCTCTCTGGACTTGACCCAGGAACCTTCCCCTGTAGGAATGCACTTCAGAGTTCTATGTTTCATTGCTATGCTACTGTCTAGTCCCAAAATATCATATTCTTTAAAAAATATTTATGGAGAAATGCAAACATATACAAAAGTAGAATAGTCTAATACTCCCCACCCCCATGGCCTTGTCACTCAGCTTCAACAATAAGTGACCCACTGCCAATCTTGTCTCAACACTGCTCACATCCATTTCCTCTCTCTCATACCAGCCAGAAGCAAATGCCAGGTATTCTCCCATTCCACCCATAAACATGTCAGCACGTGTCTCTAAAACATAAATCCTTTCTTTTAACATTCTTATAGCATCACAACTAAAAGCTTTCATAAGACTTCCTAAATATCATCAGATATCAAAAGCACTCAAAAAGTATTTTACGTTTTTCTGTTTGTTTGAATCAACGTTTAAATAAGGTCCACACATTCCTGTCAGATAGAACATTATTTTAAATGCCACCAGGTTTTTTTTCTTGCATTTGTAAGAGGGTATCATTTGCAATCTCTTCCCAAGTCATTTGTCTTATTTGATGATAGGTCACGTTCCGTACATTGGTTTCTCTCCTTACCCTTTATTTTTACGAAGTTAAACACTTCTAACTCACAGTTACAGTCATTGGAAACAACATCAAGCATTTGATATTTCTTTCCAATAGCCATGGATTCAGAAATTAGAGATTTCTTATTGAAAACTTTTGGCTGTCCATCAGGTGCTGATTCAGCTACAAACACACTCAACATCTGGAGGGATACACAGCTTAACTTGGAAGACAGGAGCAAATGGGCCCCCTTACCCACAAGAACTGCCCAAGGCTCTGGGAAGTATATCTCCTACACCATAGGTAATTCTTTTTTATATATATTTTTCTTTTTTTTGGAGAGGTTTTTGCTATAGGGCACGTGTGCTCGCTAGACAGACAGAGAGAGACAGAGAGACAGAAAGAGACAAATCACCCCCCCCAGGGGGGATGGCCATGCTGCAATCCCTTCTCCTCCATTCTCCTCTCGGGATCGTGGGCACGCATGCGCATGGGCCTGGCGTGAGTTTAAGCCACCAGGTCCAGGACTGGAACTGCGGTCGACTACATGGGAGTCCAGCGACATAGCCATTATGCTAACTGCTGGTCCCTTCTTTTTTATATTTTTAAACAATCATTTAATTTATTGTTGTTATTATTATTATTATTAAATTTGGCTAAAGAGAGACAGAGAGAGAGGGACAGTGAGAAACATGCCACAAGGTCCAGGACTTGAACCATGGTCAGCTATGTGGGAGTCGATCACCTTAACCACCACACCACCTGCAGGCCTTGGTTAATTCTAAACTATGCTTAGAAACTAGATTGCTCTCCTCTTCTTAAAGTAAAGAGAAGCATCAGTTAACCAGGAAAAAGTCGAACTCCAATTAGGGCAGATTAGAACTGTGTGGTTTTTTGTTTTTTGTTTTTTTGAGAAGTTTACGCTATAGGGCGCGTGCGCTCGCCAGACAGGCAGAGAGAGACAGAGAGATAGAAAGCGAGAAATCACCCCTCAGGGGGGATGGTCATGCCGCAATCCCTTCTCCTCCATTCTCCTCTCGGGATCTTGGGCACTCACGCACACGCGCCCGGCGCGAGGTTTAAGTCACCAGATCCGGGACGCAAACCGCAGTCAACTACGTGGGAGTCCAGCAACATAGCCATTACGCTAACTGCTGGTTCCCAGTGTGGTTTTAAGAAGAATATCTGATTTCTCAAATCCAGCTCATTGTTTTGCCTCTTAAGGGGCTGAGTTTATACTTTGGACTCTAGAAGCGACTTGACCAGATATTCCAGACAATCACCAGTGGATAGGCCGTGCTGTGCAGAGCCATTCGAAGTTGTGGAAAGGCTGTCTGACAGCAGAGTGCAGAACAGAGAGGACAAGATCAAAGAGTTAAGAAGAGCAGTTAGAACACCAGAACCTGCAGGCAGGAGGTGAGGCGCCTCTGAAGTCAGGCTGCAGCAGGGCCAAGCATAGTAGGAGGAAGAAATGAAAAGGAAGAAACCTGGGGCAGATTGAACATGGGGGATAGAGATGAAAGAGGGAGGAGTCTGCAATATTTGTGTTTCTGACTCTGGTGTGGGCTGCTATGTAAAAAGCAATCCTAGGGACTAGCAGGTGGTGTAATGGTTGCATCACTGGACTCCCACACAGTCGACTGCGGGTTGAGTCCTGAACCCAGTGGTTTGAAACGCACGCTGAATGCATTTGTTTGTGGGCCCAAAAACTTGAGAGGAGAAGGGATTGCAGCATGGCCATCCCCCCTGGAGGGTGATTTTTTTGCTTTCTATCTCTGTCTCCAGCGAGCACACATGCCCTATAGCAAAAATCTCTCTAAAAACAAACAAAAAGCAATCCTAACCACCCACCCACACACACACACACACACACACACACACACCCCAAAGGAACTCTCTTCCAAATTACCCTGGGACACAGTGAGCTGATCTGGGAATAAGAAAATGAACCCCGTGTGCAATACTCCATGTAGTAAAAATGTGGGTTCTAACACTGGCTGCACGTTAGCACCATCTGGAGAACTTAAAAGTACTATGCCCAGACCCCTGCTCAAGCCAGTTGCATCAGAATTCCTGAGTATTTTTAAACCTCCTTCTCTGCCCTCACTCCCACCTACCCAGGTGAGGAACAAGCCATGGCTGAGAACTGCTGGGCTACAGCATGGCCAGCAGGGGCTATTTGAGCACAGGACTGACTGATGAGCTCGCCTGTTCCAGAACTTGTAGGATTCATTATAGTCACAGCCTGAGACTTGGTTTGGCTCAGCTCAGACTCCAGAGCTTGGGGTGAGAGAAATGACCTGATCTTCAGAACTTGCAGCTCTCCAGTGAAAAGCAGCCAGCAGGAAAACCCAGCAGGGGGACAGGAGAGGTGTCTAGCACACGAGCTTTCCCTTCTGCCCATGGACAACCGTGGTTCTCACGCTCAGTCACACGGGGATGTTTGTCATTGCCCTGCTCCCTGAGGTGGTCAGAAGGACTCGGGCATGCCCCAGGAATCTGCATTTCAGAAGGTCCCAGATGACTGACAGAGGGTTCACGGCATACACCCAGACACCTGAGAGGCCTGCAGGAGCTGTTGTCTGTGGGTTCCTGCCAGTGGATATGTGCAGAGAGGGGCTTCTCGCTTCAATTCCGGGAAGCCTGAGGTGGTAGGTTGAGGCTGGGATCAGCATCAGTGTTAGAAACAATCTCAGGGCCCTGCCCAATGGGGCAGCCTTCATGAAAAGGAAGTGGTCCCCGTCCTGAGCTTTCTTTGTATAATAGAAGGTGGAAGCGAAGCAGGAAAGACCTTGTTTCTCGTTGAAATGGAAGTGGGGTGTTTTCCTAGACTGACTATGGGCAGGAAGTGAGGGATGAAGGTAGGAAAAACCAGCAGCCTCTGGTCCTTCAGAGACCTTGATTTTACCAGAATAGCAGACCTCCAAGCATCATGCATTAGAAAGGCAAATTCTCCAGCACCACCTAGACTACCCGCTGATACTCTGGGGTGGAATTCCAAATCTGAGTCACGACAGGCCCTCTGTGACTCTGATGCCAGCTAGAGCTTCAGAACCCCAGCTCAGCATCTCAGGCTTAGAAAGGGTTCCCACTTCTCTTGACCATGACCTCAGGTCCCTTGTCATAAGGGAGCGTGGTTACATAGCACCCTCCCACTCTCCCACTGGTTGTTGGGAGGGTCCTGAAGCGTACAGGGAGGCTTCCTCTGGAGGAAGGGAGGCTGGGCCCCCAGCAGCGGCACCTGCCCAGCAAGCTGCTCTCCCGCCCTTTTCTTTCCTCTAAGCCTGGGGTCCGGGGGAGTGACAGGGTGCAGGAGGGGCTTTTTTAGAAAGAAAGGGCACCTGGGCACCAGTCCTCCAATGCAGAGGCAGCTCTGGTCCCACAGCCCAGGGCATGGTACCACTGTCCTTCCTGAGGCCTGGATCTAGCTGGATGGCTAGTTTTTCCTGGTATAGGGGATGGTTCCTCCTCTAGTAGGAAAGGGGAGCAAACACTATCTTCTTGGAGCAAGTTACAGCCAGAGGCAGCATCCTGTATGAAAACGAGGTCCTCTTGGGACACAGAGAGGGTCCAGGTTGGTGCCCCACATTTCCTGAGACAAGGAGATGCTGATATGGAGGCTGAGACATGGGGCAAGGACGGACCCAGGGGGACAAGAAGAATCACTCAGCTCACTTCTCCAGACCCAAATTTGCAGGTCTTCTATGCAGGTCTTCTACTCTGATCAAAGAGAAGGATCTCAGGGCCAGCAGACAGCATAGTGGATAAGGTGCTGGACTCCCACATGGCTGACCACGGTCCAAATCCTGGATCAGGGACTTGAAACTCATGTTGGGCTTGTGTGTGTGCCTGCCCAAAATCCTGAGAGGAGAGTGAAGGAGAAGGGATTGCGGCATGGCCATCCCTCCTCGGTGGTAATTTCTCACTTTCTGTCTGTCTCTCTAGTGAGTGTATATGCCCTATTGCAAAAATCTCTCAAAATAAGTAAATAAATAAATAAATAAAGACAGACTGATCTCTGAAAGGAAGCCATCAGGACCAAGACTAATCCAGACCTATTGTGGACCACTGTAATCTTTCGATGTATTATGTAAGACTTCACAACTCTGAAACAAAAATCCAGGGACTTACTTGAGTTACAGTAAAAGCACAGTTTTAGCGTTTTCTTGTCAAAAAACTTGACTTGAGGCAACAACTGAAGTAAAATTTAATTCAACAGGAAATATCACACTTGGAGGGAAAACATAGAAAAAAACAATCCTTAAATTAAAGCCAAACATTCTTCCCAAGGCACAGCACTGGCATTTTACGACTGACAGCAGAATGAGTCTATTTCCATGAAGCAGAGTCACGAGCCCAAAGTCTGTCTATGAAATGGTTTGCGCTTCGTCTCCAGTTCTCAGGCTCAGGGAACGATGCTTGTGGCCTTCCTCAGGGCCAGGTAGCCAGTGACGACATCAGAGGGCAGCCTCCGGATGTAGGAGAACTCTTCACTGCTGCTGAACATATTTTTAGCTTGCTCTGGGGGTCTGTGTAGTTGGCCTGGGTGAGAAATGGGCCCAGGAGAGGGCAGAAAGTTGTTGGTGATAACATTTTAAGCTCAAGTATACAAGTTTTTGTTTGTATGTTTGTTTTTGTTTTTTGGAGAGGTTTTCGCTATAGGGCGCGTGCGCTCGACAGACAGAGAGAGACATAGAGACAGAAAGCGAGAAATCACCCCCAAGGGGGGATGGTCACGCCGCAATCCCTTCTCCTCCATTCTCCTCGCAGGATCTTGGGCACGCATGCACACACGCCCGGCGTGAGTTTGAAGACCCCGGGATGTGAACCGCAGTCGACTACGTGGGAGTCCAGCGACATAGCCGTTACACTAACTGCTGGTTCCCAAGTACAAGTTTTTAAAGAATTATTTTATTTATTATGTTTAATTTTGTTCCTGTGCATGTGAGAGAGAGAGAGAGAGAGAGAGAAAGTAAGCTGCTAGGTCCAGGACTCGACCTGCGGTCAGCCATGTGGGAGTCCAGTGCCTTAACTACCACACCACTTTATACTAAAGTAAAATATATCTTCATTACGTCTTTCTCTGTCACTACCACACTAAATCGCTTACTTTGGCAGCCTCATTACTCTTGCCAAACTTGAAAACCATTTCAGGGTATGGAGAAAGGAAGAGAAATCACCATATCAGACTCTTGGCCCTTTCTTGTTGGGACCTCAAGGCTGCAAGCCGCAGCTCCAAAACCAAAGTCATGGTGGCCATCCCTCCCTGCCTTAGAACTCTCAACTCCCTCCAACACATAGATCAGGTCTGTGTCCCTAAAGGCAGGTGCTAACCTCTGTGAGCACTGGGCACATGCCCCACCCATGGCATGCACACATCCCAGTCTCCCACCACTCTCACGCCACTCCCTCTGCTCCCTGGGCCACACTGCAGTGCTGCCCAGACAACCCATACCACCCTTCTACCAGATCGGACTACTGTCTTATCAACATGGCCAGTGTCATCTCTGCAACCTGTAATTCTTTTTTTAAAGTTTATTTATGTTCTTTCTGAGCTAGAGAAACTGAGAAAAAGAGACAGAGAGAGGGAAAATGACAAGTACCCCTCCACAGGGTCTCGCACGGCAGTCCTCCCCTACCTTGCCAGGGTCACAGGCATACGATCATGTACCCGGTGTGTACAGGTCAACCCAGACACTGAACCCCACCTTCCACATGACTGCCAGCATTGCAGAGCACTGCAGCACTGCTCCACCACCACTGCACCTCGACAGCTGGGCCTACGACTTGAAACTGATCCAGTCACTCCTTAGTATGAAATCTCTCAAAATGGTTCCTCTTTGCTTATAGGGAAAAGGCCCAAGTCTCCCTGGGGTGGTTGTTCAGGATCTTGGCCCCTCCTTCTTCTTCAATCCCCATTCTGGTTCCTACCGCCCCTTTCTTTTTCTTGGAGAGGTTTTTGCTACAGGGCACGTGCACTCACTAGAAAGGCAGAGAGAGACAGAGAGACAGAAAGTGAGAAATCACACACACCCCCCCCCGGGGGGATGGCCATGTCGAGATCCCTTCTCCTCCATTCTCCTCTTGGGATCTTGGGTGCGCACACACATGCACACAGCATGAGTTTAAGCCACCGGGTCTGGGACTTGAACCGTGGTCGACTACATGGGAGTTCAGGCGACATAGCCATCATGCCAACTGCTAGTCCCTTTACCACCTTCCTACTAAGTCCCTCTGTCTGCTTAGGCCCTATTTGCCCTATTCCTGGCAGAGGTCACCACCTTGGCCTAGCCTGATCAGTAATCTCTGGCTCATCCTTCAGGATGCAGCCTCAAGCATATCCTCAAGGAAGCCTTATCTGCATCCCCACAGGTTGGGACTCCACCCTCCACAGCTTACACACCACAGATCTCTCCTAAGCAAGGCTTATCTGTGTCTCTGAAGTTTAGTAGCTACAGAGCTGATTAAGGTCTAGACTGTGAGGATCCAGGAGGCTGGAACGCCATGGTTTACTTCTCACTGTGGAACCCAGAGTGACAGAGAGTGCATGGTGGGCCTTCAGTCAGTGTTTGGACCACAAGTGATGAATGAACAAATGAACAGTAATGAGAACTTGTTTCTCAGGTCAGGTCAGAGCTCTCTTTTGGTCTTTGTTTCTTCCCCCGTGTGGAAAGTGGAGAAAATCATTTACTATATACCTCAAAGCACATGCCCTCTACAGGTTTTGAAATAGAAACCATGAGGATGAGTCACTTTGAGCTCCTTTGGAAAAATTATAAAAGGTGCCATTAAAGTCTAGACAGATAAGGTCCAGTCACCCCAGTGTGGGCTGTCTGTGCCAATGTGGGTTACACAGTGGGCCATCCCCATGTGGCCCTGAACTTCGCGGTTCTGCCTTTAACAAGGGAGGGAAGACTCAGCAAGGAAGCAACTAACCCAGAGAACTTAGTCATGGTTTCTCTACTCAAAAAGCCTTCAGTTCTGCCCCTGGGGGTCTCCCTGAAGTATTTAACTGCTATGTGCAGGGGAAATGAGATTATCCCCCAAAAGTTACAATTAATTAAGGCTCTGTATAAAAATAAAACTTTGATCCTCTGGCTTGATCTAGATATAGCTTTCTGTCCCATACTGCCTTTAATGGTGGTAATATAAGGGAAGGCTTAATTAGGAAAACCGTGACTTTCTGAGGGCTCCTGGTAGTGAGCAGCTGGGTGAACTAGCTGGCAGGGGAGGCTGCCCTGAAGTTCCAGCAGGGCTCAGACATGTGCATCTGGCTGGCCTCATCTGGCCTCCATGTAGGAACCAGCCTCAGCTGGGCTCCATTTCTGTGACCACCTCATTCCCACCACCTAACTGCTGAGCTGGCCTGCCAGACTTCAGCCCTCACTGCCACAAAGGCTGCTGAATAAGCAATGTGGAGCACTGACTGTGACACCAACCAAAAGCCCACCAACAAAAACTTGAACAGACTGGACCTAACCCAGGAGCCAGCATCCAGCAGTCTGAATGAAAGAGGGAATGCTTAGTGACATCCCAGAGTTGACAAAGTGAACACACTTCACTCCTACAGTCCAGCCTCCTTGGGATTCCATCCTTTGAGCCTGAATGAAGTAACAAGGTCTGCCTTCCCTTAGGGCAGTCCATAAACAGCTCTAGGTGTCCCCTTGCTGCAGGGTGACAGGCACTGTTGTCAGCTCCTCCCTCTTCACCCAGAGCCAGAACCCTTTCCATAGCTTTGTATGGAGAGTTGCACACAGATGCGACCCTGAGCGCATTCTTACCATGCCTTGGTCCAGGGAAGCAGCCCCGTGGTCAGCTGGGGGCAGGTCAGTGCAAACGTGAGCTGAGGAGACAGAGACCAGACTGAGGGGCTACTGAAGCAGCTAGAATCTGCAAAGCTGGGCACTAGAAGAGAGGAAGCTGCATTGCGAGGTAGGCGAAAGTCTTCTTGGGAGTCCCTGTGAGTGGTGACCAGAGGCTGGGCTATGCATGTTGAAACTACACAAATTTTCCTGGAGAGCTAGTTAAAGGAGGAAGAGGGCCAGCCACGGTGACACAGATGGTAGGGTACCACTGTGCAATGCTGGTGCCACATGGAAAGTCTAGGTTTGGATTCCAGATCAACCTGAATACCATTTCCTCATCCATCCAGCACATGCACCTGGCATTTTTTTCAAGCTGTGGGGGCCAGAATTCAAATGACAGTCAGCCACGTAGGATCCAGCTCTCTTAGCCACGAGGCTACAAGACCAGCTCAGTCTGTCATCTTTACATCGATGAAAGAAAAAACTGTCAACCCAGGTTCCTATATTCATTTAAAGTATTATCAAAAAATGAAAGAGAGAGGCCAGATGGTGGCACAGCAGTAATACAATGCTCTGAGAGGCTGACCCACATACAAAGGTTCTAGGTTCATGTCCAGAGACTTGATAATGTATATAATTAATTTGGTCATTTTGTTACAGAATTTGGAGTCAAACATTTTCATTAAAATGTAAAGCATTTAAATAATGTATATATGGGTTTAATAAACAAATACTTCATTATTTCTACAATAATTAAAAAGAAGCCTATCTTCCAAATTTACTAGAGATGACCAAAGACTAAAGTGAGTTGAAGGTCTTATAGGTTTTGCATTTTGTCTACATTCTGCAAACAATTAAATTAGGTGCTTTAAGGGTCTGAGCTTCAGCAAATTTCCCAATGCCCACTCTTCCAGCTACACTAGGAGTTTCCAAATCATGTTCCCCAGAAGCATTTGAGGAGTCACTGAGGTATGGAGTGGGGAGGAGGACAGAGGACCAGATCTACACGGGACCACAGTGAATAGGAGGGCTCCAGGCCTTTCATAGACTTAGATTCTGCAAATGATTTCATTTGGAAAAAAGGTTCTGAGGTTTAAAAACAAGTTTGAACATCATTACCTTTACCACGCTGCCTCTTTAGAGATGCTTAAATATTTTTTTAAAGAACAATCATCACCTGAAATGCAGTTTTTTTTAACTTCAGTAGCAGGGCCAACCCCATCGCCTAGTGGTTAGAGAGCTAGATCCCACATGGCCAACCACGTGGCTCAAATCTTGGTCCTAAAGGCTTGAAAAACTCCAGCCACACATGCATGTGTGCCCCAAAACTTGACAAGGTGGAGAAATGGAGAAGAAACTGCAGCATGACCATGCCTCATCAGGGGGTGCTTTCTCCCTGTCCTTCTCCCTGTGTCTCTCTGACTCTCTCTGGAGAGTGCACACTCCCTCTGACAAACCAATAAAAAGGTTATCAGTAGTAAAAAAATAAGCAATTGTTCCTTTCATGTTATCTCATATAGTTATTAACATTAAAAAGAATAATAAAGAAAAGGAACAAAGAAGAAGTGAAATTCAGGTCTCATACTTGTTGGAACAATTTGCCCTCCAGGAGGCCTCTGACTGCAGCAAGAATACCTCCGCAAACTCACTGCCTACTCACATTATGCTCCAGGCAGGACCAATGGGGGTCATTTTCAACTGTGTATAATCAGACTTCACGATGGCAATTTCTTTCTTTTTTTTTTTTTGAGAGGTTTTCACTATAGGGTGCATGCGCTCACCAGACAGAGACAGACATAGAGACAGAAAGCGAGAAATCACCCCCCAGGGGGGATGGGCACGCCGCAATCCCTTCTCCTCCATTCTCCTCTCATTCCCCTCTCGGGATCTTGGGCACGCACGCGCACGTGCCCGGCGTGAGTTTTAAGCCACCGGGTCCGGGATGCGAACCGCGGTCGACCAGTGACATAGCCATTACGCTAACTGCTGGTTCCCGATGACAACTTCTTTTCAAGTTAACGTTATAAGATAGAGAGAGGTACTTATACTTACAAGGAGACCTGAAACATCAGAGTACTTCTTAGCTGGTTTAAAGGATGGGGGAGCATCAATACTGAAGTCTAGGGAGAAAAAAGAAAAAAAAAACCAAATCATTAAACTCACCCTTAAAACATTCAAATCCCTTTTTCTCTTTCTAAAATACTGTTGCATGGTATTTTTTTAACTTTTCCTTTGTGATTAAGTACACACAGAATTCTCTGGAGGTCAACTACCAAAGTCAGGGAGGAGTCTTAGAAGAAATGCAGTATGTCAGAGACTGAGTACAGGGTCCAGATGCAGCCCTGCCCTGTCCCCAGGGAAGCTCTGATCCAGCAGAACCATCAGAAAACTCATCTGCCCACAAGCTCCTTTCACAGTCTCGGGCTACACTGGCCGATAATGATGAAATGCCAAACAACCCACTAATTGGATCTGAGCATCCAGACGACACCACATGTCCACACCTAAATGACTTGACTACCTCACTTGTCACCCATCTGAGTCACACCATCAAAAGATGCATAGCAGGACAGGAGGTGGATGGGACATTAAACCTGTACTTTCCAATGAAGTTGAACAGAACACGTAACAGTGTTTCACACAGATTTAGACCTGCCGCAGCATTATTATTCTGAAAAACGCTGGCTCAGGGAACCAGCAGTTAGCGTAATGGCTATGTCGCTGGACTCCCACATAGTCGACCGCGGTTCACGTCCCGGACCTGGTGGCTTAAAACTCACACCGGGAGCGTGTGCATGCGTGTCCAAGATCCCGAGAGGAGAATGGAGGAGAAGGGATTGCGGCGTGACCATCCCCCCTGGGGGGTGATTTCTCGCTTTCTGTCTCTATGTCTCTCTCTGTCTGTCTGGTGAGCACACGCGCCCTACAGTGAAAATCTCTCAAAAAAAAAACAAAAAACGCTGGCTCAGAGAGTACAGTAGTTGGCCATCAGGCTGGCTGTAAGAAACCCTCCAAAATCTGGCAATATACTTGGGCTGCCTTGTTCTTGGAAACAAATTTTAAGAGCAGACTTCTGAATAAGAAATTTGTCTAAAAGAAACACCAATATTGTCATATCAAGACCTATTTCCCCCGACTGAAATGTTAACGATGACACTAAAACCCACACATCCATGACGGCACAGATTCATTTTCACAAATTCACAGTTACAGTCATGAGAAAATTTACACTTAATATTCCCAGATTAATGTCACTATAAAGTTTCCAAGCTAAATCGTTTCCTACAATAACGCATACAATAAAATGGTGTAGGTTTGTTATTGTTAAAGTTCTTAGTCTGAACGTTATAAACACATGGAAGGCTCCAGACAGCTCACAGTTTGGATCGTTCAGTTGCCACGGCAATGCCCTTTCAGCAGCAAGAATTTGTTTCAGGTTCTTCCAGGTTCTGTTCTTCTTGCCAGCTACTGCACCACCGTGGCCAGAGTGCTTGGAGGAAAAGCATGGATTAGAAGAAGTGAAAATCAATGGAGACTACCACTTGAGAATCTGATATTTATGCTTAATCACAACTATGTTTCCTTGTGCTGTCAGCAACTATTTGTGCCACTGAGACTCTTTTTCAAAGCTTTTCCCACCGTATACTTTATTTTTTTTTTTTAGAGTTTGGGGCCAGCAGCTGGCATGGTGCTTAAGGCACTAGACTCCCACATGGTCAAACATAGTTCAAGTCCCACAACAGCTTGCTTTCTCACTTTCTCTCCCTCTCGCTCTGTCTCTCTCTGGTCAAATTTTAAGAAAATAAAAATAATGATGAATAAAATAAAAAAAAAAACACTTTTTGGATTGTCAAAACCCATGTGTTAACTGGTAATGGAATAAAAATAAAAGGCTACTTTATAAGCACATAGAAAACCAAATCCTTTACTGAGTCTAACATTGTAGAATTCACTCATGAATTTCTCATTGCTTAATATAAATTTACTACAAAGCTAGATTTAAACTTGTGACCTCTGGGCTAGCAGATGGCGTGGTGGTGGTGTGGTGGTTAAGGCACTGGGTCCCACATGGCTGATTCCACAGTTCGAGTCCCAGACCCAGGGGCCTGAAAAATACGCCAGGCATGTGTGAGCCTTCCCAAAAACTGGAAAGCAGAATGGAGAAGGGATTGTGGCATGGCCATCCCCATTAGGGGGTGACTTCTCACTTTCCCTTTCTTTCTGTCCTCTCTGTCTTTCTTTGTCTTGCTCCAGCAAGCGCATGTTCCCTATGGCAAAAAAGAAGGGGAAAAAATTCATGATCTCTGAATCCTCTTCTGAATTCCTGAATTTCCTGGTGATCCTGCAATATCTGAGAAGGTCTCGATCATGGAATGGCAAGCCTGGAAATCTTTTTCCTTTTTGTTTTAGTTGGGTTTTTTTTGGTTGCTATTCTATGAAGATGACAAAATGGAAAGAGATACCCAAAATCTGTTGAAGACACTGGTAAGATTATATTCCAAAATTAACTCATAAAAAATGAACTGTTAAGGACCAGCAGTTAGCGTAATGGCTATGTCGCTGGACTCTTATGTAGTTGACTGTGGTTCACGTCCCGAATCCGGTGGCTTAAACTCATGCCGGGCGCATGTGCGTGCGTGCCCAAGATCCCGAGAGGAGAATGGAGGAGAAGGGATTGCCGTGTGGCCATCGCCCCTGGGGGGTGATTTCTCGCTTTCTATCTCTCTGACTCTCTCTGTCTGTCTGGCGAGAGCACACGCCCTATAGCAAAATCCTCTCCAAAAAAAATAAACAAATAAACTGTTAATGATGTCATCTGAATCACTGTAACTTATATTTTTCGAGAATGAAAGGAAGAGTACCCATTTCTACTTTATGTACAATAGCTTGAATTTACTTAAACCACTCTTCCTTTGGTTAAATATTTAAATAGTCTCATCTAAACTTATATAAGAACAAAGAAAAGGGAAGAGGAATAATCACCATGGAAATGACCTGTCCCCAAAACACAATAGTATTATTTCATGAATTCCACCAAGGACACCGAAATCCTTGGATCTTGGATCAATAGGATGGGCCCTTCTCCTGCTCCCATCCACCCCACAACACCCTATAGGGGAGAAAAGTTGGCAAGGTGGGGGAAAGGGGACACCAGTGCCACCTCGACTGCAGGCCCAGCCAGACCAGAGGCCAAGGTGTAGTTGTTTTTTCTTTCTTTATATAATACCTTAGATGCTTACCACAAAGTTGGGATCTTTAAATGGCAAAGGTTTCACACCTTTTTCCACCGGTCCTGTGCCGAACTCTGAGGACGCCATTTTACTTTCACTCATGGTTTCCATGCTGATACCCTTAAGACATAATAAGTGTTACATTCCAATTAGTGAGAAATAAGAGGACATCCAGTCATAGTCAAACTATAGGAGTCTTTATTAGCCAGCAACTGTGGGAGCACTCATGTCTAAAAACCCTGCAGCCCCGAGTATAGAGAGAAGGGAGCTTATAAAGGCAAAAGCCACAATCAGGTTGATGTGGCAAAATCAGCGGCCGTTGAGGGGGATAAGAAGAGGGGAAGGAGTGACCTTGCACAAGCGTTTGTACAGAAGCAAAATTAAGCAGTGTTATGTAGGGCATCTCAGGGGTTGGGGCTTTCCAGTCCTGGCACAAACACAATGGAATTTTAATGGGTTTAACTGCTCAGGGAGGAGAGGGTTGCAAAATGGCAAAGACTGATTCAAAATGGAGGGGCTCATGCTTCATAAGAACTGACTGAGGTCAGCTGCTGCTGCTACCTTTTTTTTTTTTTTTTTTTTTTAAGTGAACTTACCAGAGACAGACAAAGTGAGGTATCACTCCTCAATGAGGATGGCCACACCACAATCCCTTCTCCTCCAGCATCCTTTCAGGATCTTGGGCACACATGCACACACGCCTGGTGTGATTCTGTGTTACTGGGTCTGGGACTCGAATCAGGCAGCCAGACAAGTGAAATCTAGTGTCTTAACCTCCACACCACCTGTGGGCCTGAGGTCAACTTTTTGTAGCTGAGCTCCTTGCCTTGTAAGAGCCTCAGGAGATGGCCTACCCAGAGGAAGGGATGCCAGATGGGGACCAGCACCTGCTGTGTGGAAGCCATGGGAGAGACAGATAGGCCCCCAGCTCCCATGTTTCCCAGCTTTCCCTGTGTGCCAAGAACAGCGGAGACTGTGCTACCCAACCTGGCTCATTTATTTCTGACCACCACCACAAAGTAGGTGCTAGTTTACAGAAAAGAACACTAGGGCTCAGGTCGACAGAGTCAAAGCCACACAGTGGTCAGCCTTTGGATTCAAACTCAGGTTAGGCCAATTCCAAACTCTCCACCATCTCCATGATGTTGCATAGTCCCCACTCTGCCAATCTTGTCAACTGTGTCTTAAAATATTAAGACAAAAAAGGTCCAGCCCCTTTAAGGGTCTAGTCAGCCAGAGAACCCAGGCTGGAGCCAGTATGCTGAGGGGCACAACAAACAGGACATGGGCATTCTAAGGAAGGAAAATGGACAGGAAGCTACAAGGCCACGGGTCAGCAGGCTGTAGCCACAGAGTATCCAGACAAGCAGGCAAATATACTTCAAAACAAAAAAGACTTCAGCTAACAATCAGGAAGGAAAAACAGACCAAAGTAAGAAATCACTTCTGATCTGTAATGCAATTTCCAATCTTCCCAGACTAATACACTCTTTAAAAACTGATGTATAATTTACATACAGTGAAATGCACAGATCTTAAGTGTAGGTTGCCTGAGTTTTGACAAATGTTTTTATGAGTAAAATCCAAATCTCTATCATGATATAGAACTTTTCTACCATCTCAGAAAGTTCTCTTGGGTCCCCTCTTAAGTCAGTAACTTCCATCTCCTGAGACAAGCACTGCTCTAATTCCTACTTCATTATTTCTGCCCCTTCTGTAACTTCATATATACGGAACCTGAGAGCGTGTACTCGGGTGTCTAGCTTTTTTAGTTCAGCATAAGGTTTCCAAGAATATCCATGTTGTTGCACGCACACAGCACAAACATACAAAAGGGGGGCCAGCAGGTGGCGTGGTGGTTAAGGTGCTGGACTTCCATATGGCTGACCGTAGTTCAATTTTCAGAACTGGCAGCTTACTTTCTCATTTTCCCTCTCTTCCTCTCTCTGGTGAGTGCACATGCCCTATAGCAAATTTAAAAATAAAGAAAATAAAATAAATAATTCTTAAACAAACAAACAAACACAAACATACAAAAAGGGGCCAGCAGATGGCATGGTGGCTAAGGCACTAGATTCTCACATGGCCAATCACAGTTCTACTCCTGAACCTGGCAGCTTGAAATTCACACTGGGCATGTGACCATGCATCCCAAAAATTTCAGGAAGAGGACAGAGGAGAAGGGATCACAACATGGCCATACCCCCTGGAGAAGTGAGAAATCTCTATATTTCTCCTATAAGCGTATACAGCCTATGGGAAAACCTTTTTAAAAAATTATAAGGGGCATGCAGTACAAAGTTTCCCTTTATTCTTTCTCTACCAGTTTCTTGTACAATCTTCTAAGCACTTTCTATACTTATAAAAGGATATATATTTTTTCTTCATTAGACACACGGTATTTCTACACTCAGTACATTTCAGAGTTTTCTGGCAAGTGCACATGCCCTCTGGCAATTAGAAGGAAAGAGGTTAAGGCTACAAGTCATCATGTTAACTGAGAAGACTCCTGTCCAAATGGGCCTGGGCCCCAGCTAGTGTCTGGCCCTGGGCTCCCTCTCCTCTGTTCACATCACCTGTCACCTGTTCATACCACCTCCTCAGTCTACATTGTTTCTCTTCTCATTCTTCCCATTGTTGGTCTTTCCTGTCATTATGTAAGAAAATGTCTTTGGTTTAAGAAAATTCACATTAGACAGAGAAAGGGAAAGTGAGAAATCACCCACTCCAGGGCTATGGCCACACCACAATCCCTTCTCTTCCATTCTTCTCTCGGGCTTTGGGGGCACATGCACAAGTGCTTGGTGTGAGTTTCAAGCCACCAGGGCCAGGGCTTGAACCTCAGCCAGACATGTGGTAGTATAGCGCATTAATCACTATGCCACCTGCTGGCCCCCCACACTCGACTCTTTAGAGGACGGAGAAAAAAAAAATTACACTGGCCAAATAAAGCCTCTCCCCTAGGCCACACTCAGCTGCTAACCTGACACCACATGAGCCAGGGGCTATAACTGTGGTATCTGTGGAGAAAGATGGAGCTGGCCTACAGGTGGAGAAGGGTGACAGCTGCCCACTCCTTTGGGACCTGCAAAGGACAGCCCAGGCCCACTGACTAGAAGAAACGTGAGGTGAGCAGCTTTACGATCTGCCCGTATGAGATGAAGGAAAGTGGCTGTTCCTCCCAGGATTCTAGCAACTGTGCTTAAGGGCACCACGAGGCCACTCCCCAAGAATCAGGTCGACGGGTGGGAATCGGGCAGCCATGTCTACAGGGAGCCTAAATTACTGGGTTGTCAAAGAAGTCATAATGGGACCAGCAGATGGCATAGTGGTTACATGCCATATGACTGACCACAGCTCAAGTCTTAGACCTGATGGCTTTAAAATTACACCAGGTGTGTGTGCATCCATGCCCAAGATCCCAGGAGGACCATGGAGGAGAAGGGATTGCAGCATGGCCATCTCCCCAGTGGGGGGTGTGGGGGGGTGATTTCTCACTTTCTCTGTCTCTCTCTCCCCAGTGAGCACACATGCCCTAAGGCAAAAAATATCTAAAAATTCCTGATGTATTTTTTTTCTGTTTTCTATGCAAAAATGTGTCATGACTTTTCCAACAACCCAATAAGTAAGAGAGAAACAATCTAAGAACTACCCAGTGGGTGTCCTATCGGAGAAAAAAACAAAGATGGCTCAGGAGAATGCAAAGGCTAGTCCAGGGACAACAGAATATGAGACTTCCCGGGACCAAATACGCTGTAAGTTTATTGTTATGGTTTTTCATAACGAGTATAACTATTTCCACCCGGGAGGAGGGAAAAAAAATAAAAACTGAGCCACCAAAGAAGCCAAGAATAGACATAAAGGGTAAAGGAGAAAGCCAGGGTCCCAAGGCCTCCGACAGGGATGACATAACCATCTGCAGAACCCGCCTGGCTCCCAGGGCCCCTTCCATGGGCAGTGGCATTAGCTGCTTCTTCCATTCCCCAAATGCCTAGAGACTGCATTCCTCTTTCTGTTCATTCCTCTGTCCTCACTCCCCCACGGGGAAGCTTGGCGGTGCTGTGTCCCCAGTGAGAGGAAAGAGCAGGAGAGTATTTCGACAAAGATTTTGTTCCAAGGTCCCAGGGTGGCCCGGGAGAACACTGCCCAACAGAGGCGCCTCGTGGAGATTCAGCAGGTGCAGAGACCTTGGCCAGTCAGGGTGAACTGTGCCAGGAGAGAGGGCACACCGTCAGCGCATCTGCTGAGAGCAAGGAGAGGGTGCTGTTGAGAGAGGGCCGTGGCAGCCACTGGGGCAGCAACAAGGAAGACAAAGAGCTGAGCTCGAACTTTCAGAACGGTCCTGCTGGCTTGCACACGCCATCCTCTGCTCTGCCCTTTTCAGCAGGGCAAGCCTTCCTGCCCCGAGACAGCAAGCTGAAGGGGCAGACAAAGGAAGCCACCCAGACGTGTGCTGAGCCCATCACCCCAGAGCTGCCTCCTGTCTCTGAAACAGTGGAGGGCTCACTTGTCTAACCAGATGCAAAACCACCAGAGGCCCAGAGCCGGGGTTCTGCTTTTCTTTCCTCTTCATCCCCACTCCCAGCCCACATCACTGCACTCTCACTCTTCTGTTCCCCTTGGCTCCAGCCGAGCTGAGACCCCTGCACCTACTGATGCCAGGATGCGCGGGCAAGACCTGTACTACAAGGGAAGACCAAGGCTATGAGGCTCGGATGCAATCGTTTTAAACGACGGAGTTTCCGTATACCAGAGCACTGTCAACATCACAAGACTTCACAAGATACACTAACTGTCCCCACGACGACGTGAAGGCCCTAAGGAGGGGAGAGGAAGTACCTGGCACCCTGGGCTGCCCCTTCTTTGCGGCACTAAAAGAGCTAACGAGGAAAGTCCCAGAGAAGAGAAACTCGGCTTGCTGTTCATATTAAAGAAGTACATGCCTGTCACTAACAGACAAGAGTTGGCAATGCCTGGGGTCTCGGCCCGGCTCTGCACAACCGTGGAGCCCAAATAAATGGCTTCATCCCTCCAGACAGTAAACAGCCTGCAAGACTCTGACTCAGACTTTGGGATAACAGGCATTCTGTCTGTGGTTACAAAAAGGGAGACAAATGCCCTTTGTCTTATCACTGAAAAATCAAATGCCCCGTTAAATCTAATAGTATTCTAGATTCACAAAGGGTACCTTGATCCAAAACTGCATGGTTACTTAAAACAGCAAAAATGTGGGGCATAGCAGTTACGTCACTGGACTCTCACATGGCTGACTGGTTTGAGTCCCAGACCTGGCGACTTGAAACTCATGCTGACTGGTTTGAGTCCCAGACCTGGCGACTTGAAACTCATGCTGGGCACATGTGCATGCTTGCCCAACTTCCTGGGAAGAGAATGGAGAAGGGATTGTGGTGTGGCCAGCTCCCTGGGGGTTGATTTCTTACTTTCCCTCTCATTGTCTCTGTCTCTGTCTGGCTCTCTCTCCAGTGAGTTCAGACACCCTAAGGCAAAAACCTTTACGCCCCTTAAAAAAAAGCAAGGTACAATCTAAATATTCAACAAAATCAATGAACTAAGAGTGTTTAATTCCTTCTAACATAGTGCAATTAGTCATATGAGTCTGTTAGATCTTTTTTGGCTTTTATTTCTTCCATGAGAGAGAAAGAGAAAGCAGACTGACAGCAAGATCTTCATGCCTTGTTCAACCCCCAGCCCCAGCCAGCCCAGACAATGGGCATCCATGCATGCCCAGCATCTCAGGGAGGTCTCAGGACAAGAACTCAGGACCTTTCCCATGTGCTTACCCATTACCACCGTGCCACCGCTTGGTCCTGACTTTTTAAAGTCTAATTAAGAAAACCACCAGGCCAGCCTATAGCCTGGTGGTTGAGGCAGCTGGATCCCACATAGCCCATCCCACAGTTCAAATCTCAGACCCAATGGCTTGAGAAACACACCAGGCCTTTATGCATGCATTGCCATATTCCCAAAAGGAGGGAGAAAGGGAGGAAAAGGGATTGTGGTGTGACCATACTCCATTGAATTGGGGAGGGGTGCTTTCTTGATTCTCCTCTCTTTCTCTCTCCCTCTGTCTCTCCAGCAAGCACAAGCCCTCTGGCAAACTGGGTGTAAAAAAGAAGAAAATCCACATGGAGTGTAGACACAGCCCTTCCCTTCAGCAAGAGCCCTGAAGCCAGTTGAGTTGTGATTTCCACCACAGTGGGTTGCTGGGCATTTCCAGCTTCCTGAAGGTACTTAGCTACTCTCTGAAGCTTACTATGGTAGGAATTAATTCATGCTACCTTTAGGGTTAAGACAATCATTTCTCCCAATATATGCAGACTACATTCTTTGTTCTTGGCAAAAGTTATCAAAGCACACCACTCAAACCAAAACTGGGAAAATGTATTCGCAATACATATATAATATATAGTAAAGGACTCCAAGCAAGAGTATACAAAGAACTCTCACATATTTGTAAGTTGTTTTTTTTTTTAATCTAGGACCAGCAGATGGTGTAATGGTTACATCACTGGACTCCCACATAGTCGATCACAGTTCGAGTCCCAGACCTGGCAGTTTAAAACTCATGTCAGACACGTGTGAGTGTGTGCCAAAAATCCTGAGAAGAGAATGGAGTAGAAGGGACTGCAGTGAAGTCATCCTCCCTGGGGGGGGGAGGAGGGTGATTTTCACTTTCTGTCTCTCTGGCAAGTGTATGTTTTGTCTCTCTGGCAAGTGTATGTTCCCTCTAGCAAAAACCTCTCTAAAAAAAAAAGAAAGAAGAAAGGAAGAAAGGAAGAAAGGAAGAAAGGAAGAAAGGAAGAAAGAAGGAAGGAAGGAAGGAAGGAAGGAAGGAAGGAAGAAAGAAAGAAAGAAAGAAAGAAAGAAAGAAAGAAAGAAAGAAAGAAAGAAAGAAAGAAAAAGAAAGGAAGAAAGAAAGAAAAAAAATTAAAAAATCTGAGCTGGCCAGTGATTTGGTGGTTAAGGCAACTGGATTCCACATGGCTAACTGCATCATTGAGTCCTGGACCTGGTGGCTTGAAAAACACACCACGTGTGTGTGTGTGTGTGTGTGTGTGTGTGTGTGTGTGTGTATGCTCAAAATATCAAGAAGAGAATGGAAAAGGGATTGCAATATGGCCATTTCCCTCACTCCCACAGGAGTGCTTTTTTCCTTTCTCTCTGCCCTGTAATGGGCACATGTGCACTCTATAGCAAATTAAAAAAGAAAACAAAAGTGTAAACAAATGTCCATCAGGCTGATATGTTTATACAATGTATCAGATGTGTTGAATGAATTATGCTCAAAACCATTGTTTCGAATGAATCCCAGACTGACACAAAAGAATACTTCCTGTATAATTCTATTTACATTATGTTTGAAAACAAAGTCAACCTATGTTTGAAAGATGTCAGAAAAAGCAATTATCTTTGCCAGGGAGGGACTAGAATACTGACAGTTAAGGGTCACCAGGGAATTTTATGGGGCTCTTAAGAAATGCTCTATCTTGGGAACCAGCAGTTAGGGTAATGGCTATGTCGCTGGACTCCCACGTAGTTGACCGCAGTTTGCGTCCTGGACCCGGTGGCTTAAAACTCACACCGGACACGTGTGCATGCATGCCCAAGATCCCGAGAGGAGAATGGAGAAGGGATTGTGGCGTGACCATCTCCTCTGGGGGGTGATTTCTCTTTTTCTGTCTCTATGTCTCTCTCTGTCTGTCCGGCGAGTGCACGTGCCCTATAGCGAAAACCTCTTAAAAAAAAAAAAAAAAGAAAAAGAAATGCTCTATCTTAATCTGGCAGGTGGCCATAGGCCACTACATTTGTAAAAAGTCATTGATCTGGGCCAACAGATGGCATAGCAGTTATGTTGCTGGACTCTCATATAACCAATCACAGTTCAAGTCCCGGACTTGGTGGCTTGAAACTAACAGCCAGCACATATGTGTGCATGCCCAAGATCCTGGGAGAGTGGAGAAGGGACTGCAGTGTGGCCATGCCCCCTGGCGGGGTGGGGGGTGATTTCTCACTTTCCCTCTCACACTCTCTGTCCTTAGCTCTCTTCTCCCAGTGCATACACCCTAAGGCAAAAAAAAAAAAAAAAAAAAAAGTCACTGATCTGTATATTTAAGATCTGTACATTTTACTGTGTACAAATCTCACCTCAATAAAATACTAAAAACAAAACAAAACAAAAAAACAAAAAAAACTACCAATTACAGATGAAAGAAGTGGTGGGGCCAGCAGTGGTGTAGTGGTTAGAATAGTTGGACTCCCATATAGATGACCCTGGTTAGAGTCCTGGACCTGGCAGCTTGCATTCTCACACCTCCCCCGCATCCCCAGCTGAGCACAAGTGCCCTATAGCAAATTAAAAATAATAATAAATGGAATCAAATCATTCTTTTTTAAAAAGTAGCAAGCTGTTACCATTCCTAGAATGCTACAGAGTGAATAGTGCCACATCACATGTGGAGGCCCACAAAGTAACACACACTCCATTTTTCTCTTACTGCTTTGAACAGGGAAAATACTCATCTAATCAATTGAAAATTCTTTGCTGGAATTGCAGAGCCTAGATTGGCCAGGCATCCTGAAGTCTTTTATAATCATTATCTCATTCAATGACCTCATGAAGTCCCCCACCACAAAATGGAGAAACTGAGGGCCAAAAAAAGCACTGTGCATATGCTTAAAAAGAAAAAGCTTAAGCAAGTTTAAATTGGTCAGTTTATGTGAACAAGATAGCAACAATTCCTGAATTCCTGAATGGACAGTTCTCAGAACTTCAACAGGTTCTAAGAACTCCTGCCTGCTATGTGGTCAGGCAGCATTTATAGACAGAAAACAGGAGTGGGGCCAAAAAAAAAAAAAAACTTAATTGATTCCAGCTCTGGGATCTGTCTCACTTGAACCATCTAGCCCTAGTTGCTTCCAACTGTCTAAAGCTCAGTGGCCAGAACTAACTGAACCTCAGCTATGAGTACATGCCCAAGTTAACTAGTTTCATTTAGCATGAATGACTCCATATTGGTTATGTCTCTCTGGCCCTGCACAGGAGCCTAGCCCAAATCAATGGTCACCTACATATTTAACAGTACAAATAGCTATCTATTTTTTTTTTTTTTTGAGAGCTTTTTGCTATAGGGTATGCTTGCCAGAAAGACAGAGATAGAGAGACAGAAAGTGAGAAATCACCCGCCCCCCCCCCCCCAGGGGGAATGGCCACGCTGCAATCCCTTCTCCTCCACTCTCCTTTCAAGATCTTGGGCACACATGCACACGCACCTGGACTGGAGTTTAAGCCACCTGTCTGGGACTCGAACCGCAGTCGACTATATGGGAGTCCAGCAACATAGGCATTACACCAACTGCTGGTCCAGAGTATCAATATATCTCTATATTCCTCCATGCAGGACATCTGGGTGCTTTGCAACTCACACTCAGTCGATGTCCAGAAGCGACAAAAGGGGCACCTGCTAACTTCTGGATGATCGACACTCGGAAAAGTGCGGGGCTTCGGGGCAGCTGGCGTGTAGTGATTAAGAACGCTGGACTCTCACAAGCCGAACAGCGGTTCGAGTCCTGGACCTGGCGGCTTCCTCTTTCTCCCCCCACCCTTCCCTGTCCCTCTCTGGTCAAATTTAAATAAATAAATTAATAAATTTAAATAAAATAATTCTAAAAAAAGAAAGTCCGGGGCTTCGATCTAAACACGACCTCGGTGGGTTCCGGCGACCCTTCTAAGTCAGCAAATAATTCCTTCACCTTCTCTCTGGCCTCACAATGCAAGGCGATGAGTCTAACCAAAACCCTAGAAGACTAGCCTAGCCAAGCCGGGGCCCTAAAATGCGCCGTCGCTCCCCTCCTTTCCGCCCAGTTCGGACCTACGCATGCGCCCTCACTGCGCTTTGCTCCGCTCCGCTCCGCCCCTCCCCACCCGGACCTGCGCACGCGCACTCGCCGCGCCCGCGCCCTCGCCCCGCCCTGACCAGTCTTGCGCAGGCGCAGGCTAGGAGAGCACGCGTACCTGTGCAAAGCTGGAGGCGGATACCTTTTTCTTCTTACTGGCGCCGTAGCCCCCACTGCCCGGGCCATTATGAGAAGGGCTGGCCGGCCTCTTCTTACTGTTTCGCCCGGTAGTGAAAGTAGTGGCCACAAGCGGAATTTGTGCCGCCATCCTTACCCTGAGTCTCCCTCCTACTCCCCCCACCCCCACCCCTTTCCCAGTGCGGTCCTTGCAACTTCCGGCTCGCTGTTACTTCCGCCGTGACAGAAAACCCGGACTGGATTTGTAGAGCTTTCGCTGACTTCTAGGTGGAATCCAAAAGGCGGATCTCGGAGTAATTCATTAAATATTCCGTGCGCCTTGGGGCACGTCCTTCGTGATGGAAGTTGGAGTATCTCCGGTCTTGTTAAATAACTATGTTGTAAAAAGTTAATAATCGTGTTTTCTTTGCTCATGTTAAGTCAGAGGATGGGTCGCTTTTGATGTCTGTAAGAATTAAAGGTAGGATCGTTCTCAGTGGACTGGGTAGAAAGCAAGCTGCTCTTCCCTTGATCACTGCCTTCCCCACGGGACAAGTTATCAGGAGTCCCCAAATGGACTTGGAGGGTATAATGGCCCTTAACCTTTTAGGGATCATAGGCCTCCTTTGAGTGTGGAAGCCATTTTACCCATTCCTCCCTCCACATAGAATGTATATAGAAACATACGAAATTTTACATGCGGATTTCAGGGAGGTCACAGCTGCTAAAACCTGTTTACAAAGCTCAGCGCCCAACCCCTTGTTCTTTGCATCATACCCCATATACCTACTTAGAACCTTTATGACAGTGTATTAACTAAATAGTTTATAATTGGGTGGTTAATTTTTTTTGGCTCCTGGTAGGATGGAAGCCCAATGAGGCAAGAGCTGGTCGTGCCTTGTTCATGTACCTGTCTTACAAGTCGTGGGTTCATTGTGCATATTCTTTTTTTTTTTAATGCTTTTTTTTTTTTTGGAGAGGTTTTTGCCATAGGGTGCGTGCGCTTGCCAGACAGAGAGAGAGAGAGAGACAGAAAGAGAGAAATCACCCCCCAGGAGGGATGGCCACACCACAATCTTCTCCTCCATTCTCCTCTCGGGATCTTAGGCACTCACACACACGCGCCTGGCATGAGTTTTTAAGCCACCGGTTCTGGGGCGCAAACCGTGGTAGACTACATGGGAGTTCAGCGACATAGCCATTACACTAACTGCTCGTCCCAGTGCATATTCTTTAATAACTAATTAGTAAGTGAATAACCTCCCTACCGTAATTAGTTGGAAAGTACTGTGTTCTAGTACAGGAAAGTGACATACATCAATCCAGATATTGGATAGAAGCTGCAAAATGACGTACAGGTTAAAAAAGAGAGGGAAAGGTTAAGAAAACTATTAATACTGTTCCTGTCATTTATTTCTCCTTTGAAAAAAGAAATAATCTACTAGTGTTGAGATGTTCTCTCCCAGTTCCTGATCTCTACAGCTCTCCTCACCTAAATCTAGTCTTCCTTATTCGAGGATTCACACTTCTAAGCAACCAGTCATTTGAGTGAACCCTCCAGTATCCCATCCTTTGATCAGTCACCACCTCAGTTAATTTCTCTCCTTCACTTCTGCACTGGTGAATCCATTTCCCCGTGTCTGGATCCTTGCAGCAGCCTCCAAGTGGAAGTTTGGGGCTTATTGTCCTAATCCATCCCTGTCTCCAGGCTGTTCTTCACACTGACTGCCAAAATGGGCTTTCTAAAAAGTAAAGTTAAGGTGTCAGTGGCATAGTAGTTAAGGCACTGGACTGCCACGTGGCTGGCCCTGGTTTGAGTCCCAGATTCTTAAAACTTACACCAGGCAAGTGTGCCTGCCTAAGGTCCCAAGAGGAGAATGGAGGAGAAAGGATTGCAGCACAGCCATCTGATTTCTCACTTTCTCTTTCTCTGTCTTTCCAGCAAGCACACACACGCCCTGTAGCAGAATTTCTCTTTAAAAAAAAAAAAAAAAAGCTAATCATACCATTCACTTTCTTGTATTCTTGTGTTTGTCAGGGTCCTTTTACCTTCAAGATAAAGTCCAACAAACTTTTTAATTTGGCATATTAAATTCTTTCTTTTTTCTTTTTTCTCTAGTTTTTTGCTATAGGATGCGTGCACTCTCCAGAAAGACAGAGAGAGACAGACAGACAGAAAGCAAGAAATCAACCCCCAGGGAGGATGTCCACGCCACAATCCCTTCTCCTCCCTTCTCCTCTTGGTATCTTGGGCACGCACAGCGGGTTTAAGCCACTGGGTCCAGGACTCGAACTGCGGTCAACTGCATGAGAGTCCAGCAACATAGCCATTACACTAAATTCTTAATAGCTGGGCTTTGCCCTCTATTTTTGCTTCATTCCCAGCACTGAATTCCTGTGCTCCAGTGAAGGACTAACTCTATTTCCTAGAGTGTACATTGTTTTCTTAATTTACTCTTCCGTTATCATCCTTTTCTCTCCTAGGAATGCTCACCTCCTTGCCCAGTTTCCATCCAGTTTGCCTCAGTTCAGATTCTGTTTTCAATGAAAACCATTCTGCCATCCGATGCATCCTCCTTCCTCTTCCCCTGCCCTGTCTCCACCTCATGTGGGTGTCTTTGAGGGCACTTTACAGGGCTTCTTCCTGTAATGTTCAAGTTCACATGCCAGTTCTGTTCTGTGTCTGTTTTGTTTTGTTTTTAGTTTACTATGTTTGGTATAGGGCATGAGTGATTACTAGAGAGAGAGAAAGGGAAAGTGAGACATCAGCCCCCCTACTCCCCACCGTACGGGAAATGGCCATACTGCACTCTCTTCTCCATTCTCTTCTCAGGATTTTGGGCATACACACATATGTACCTGGCATGTTTTCTTTCTTTTCTGAGAGGTTTTTTTCCTACAGGGTGCATGTGCTTGCCAGAGAGACAGAAAGCTAGAAATCACCCCTGAGGGAGATGGCCACACTGAAATCCCTTCTCCATTTTCCTCTCGGGATCTTGGGCACGCACACACATGCTCCCAGCGTGAGTTTAAGTTGCTAGGTTAGGAACTCGAACCGTGGCCAACTGTGAGGGAGTCCAGCAGTGTAACCATTACGCCATCTGCTGGTCCCTGGAACTAGGCCTTTTCTGCTCAATCCTTACTCATCAGAGTTCCTTAATGTGTGGTCCAAGGCCCTCTACCCTTCTCAGTCAACTCTCCCAAGCCATTCAACCAACTCTTAGGGCTCAGTTACACATCATCAAACCACGTTAAGATTTGTATCTCTTGGGACTGGCAGTTGGTGCAATGGTTAAGGTCCTGGACTCCCACATGACTAACCACAGTTTGAGTCCTGGGCCTGGCAGCTTGCTTTTTTACTTTCCCTTTCTCTCTCTCTGTCTCTCTCTGGTCAAATTAAAAATATAATAACAATAACAAATAAAATAAATCATTCTTTTAAAATTTTTTTATCTCTCTTCTGACTCTCACCAATAGTGCCTACCCAGGTATACAATTTCTCACCCAGATATAAACTTAGATGCTTATAGGTACCTCCTTCCAGGTGGTGTAGCAAAAACAGAATTCATCATCATTCATCATTCTTCCTGATCTTTTAAAGCATGTTCCTCTTTCAGTGTTTCCTCTCTCAGTAAATGCCACATTTATTCACCATTTGTTCATTCCAAAGCCCTGAGAGTCATCCTTAGCTGTTCCTGTTCACCCACCTTCACACCAATACCAAATTCCATCCACCATCATCTCTGTCTTGGACTTGCACTTTGCCTTATGAGTTGTCTCCCTATCTTCACCTTTGGTCCCTCCCACCCAGTCACTGTTTGCAAGTCCAGATGATCTCTTTCAAGATATACTGTGCCTTTTTTCAGATCATACTTCCTACTTAGAACCCTTCAGTGGCTTCCTGTGGTGCCAAGAATGAAACCAAATGTTCATACCATGGTTTCAAGAACTTCCCAGGCATGCCATCTTTCCAGCTGGCCTCTGACCCAAGTCTCTGCACTCCTGCTCTGTCTTCACTTTTGTCAGTTTACAACAACCAACTGTGCTTCCTGCTCCTTCGGGGCCTTGGCACTTATGGCTCCTCTTGTGTGCTTTTCTCCTAACACCACCCTCCTCTGGTCTCTTTAATGTTCATTCACCTTTCCCATCTTGGCTGACAAAGATTTTTTAGCCTTCCCTATGTCTCTGATCTGGTTTCATGTTACTGTTTATCTCAGTCATTCAGTATCTATTGATTGCTTTTTTATTTATTTATTTTTTTTGAGAGGTTTTGCTATAAGGCGTGTGCGCTTGCCAGAAAGACAGCGAGAGTCAGAGAGACAGGAAGTGAGAAATTACCACCGAGGGGGATGGCCACGCAGCAATCTCTTCTCCTCCATTCTCCTCTTGGGATCTTGGGCACGCACACACACCCGGCGTGAGTTTAAGCCACCGGGTCCAGGACTCAAACTGTGGTCAACTACGTGGGAGTCCAGTGACATAGCCATTACACCAACTGCTGGTCCCAATTGCTTTTTTTTTTTTTTAAGAGAAATTTTTGCTATGGGGCATGTGCACTCACCGGAGAGACAGAGAAAAAGAGATAGAGAGACAGAAAGCAAGAAATGACCTCCCCAGGGGCTTGGCCACACCACAATCCCTTCTCCTTTATTCTCCTCTTGGGATTTTGGGCATGCATGCACACATGCCAAGTGTGAGTTTTAAGCCACTGAACCCAGGACTTGAACCATGGTTGGCTAGATGGGAGTCCGGCCATGCAACAATTGCACCAGCTGCTGGTCCCTATTAATTGCCTTTTATATTCTTATTTCTGAGGATGAAGACAAGGATAAACAAAACAGAATAGCCCTTATTCTCAGGGAGCCCCCAGTCTAATAGAGAAGGAGAGACCTTGTATTGGGTCATCAGAAAAGTCATGACACATTTTTGCATAGAAAATGAGAAAAATACGTCATGAATTTTTCAACAACCCAATATTTGTCTTCTTGACTGGACACAAGCTCCTGTGTGCAATCTCTAGTCATCAGGATCGAGCGACAGGATAGCAACAAGGAAATGAGAGCAATGTTGGAGGACATCCATTCAAAGGAGCAAAAGCTTTGTGCTGGGGAAAAACCTGCTCCACATCTACCCTGGCACTGCAAGTCACTGCCCAGTCTTGACACACATAGAGACTCCATACACCCTGTGGTGTAACTCATGTATTCCCA